TGTAGGAAATAGTTTTAGGCAAAATTTGATATGAACAAATTAGATATGAAATAGATTTTAGGAAATGGAATTGAATTTAGATTTGATATGGATTTATTATATTGATAAGTTATATATAATTTTTTTTAATCAAAATAAAACGTATTTACGAATTTTTTAAATTTAAAATAAAAAATTTTTTAACATAAAAAATGAATTTACAAAATTATGAAAAATATATAATTATTTTTGAAGTTAAATTTATGGATTTATGTGTTTGTATTCATATATTATATATAAAATTAAAGAATTTATGAATTGTTCTAGCAAATTATTTTACAAGTTTTTAATTTATTTATGAATTTATATTTTACATATTTTAATTTAATAAATTTGTTTTATTTTTTAGGCGAATAGACCACCTTCATCGGACAGTTATTTGGCGAAGATGCTACGATTCCCGGATCCGATGGTTGTCGTGGATCAGGATCAGGATCAGGATCGGGTTCGCAGGCTGCGACCTATCATCCACGGACTCCACCACGAGGTGCACCACAAGCTCCGCCACGAGCGCCTCCACGAGGTCCGCCACCTCCACCGCCTCAGACAGAGCCAGGGCTAGAAGAAGACGAAGCAGATCATCCCGATGAACACATTGAGGCCCCTCCACTGGCAAATCCACCTCTTATGATGTAGATTAGTGAGCTTCTCCGCCAACCGGGACGTGAGACACGTGTTAGGGTTCTCCATCTGTTTAGGTCTCCTGGTACTTTATGGTATGATGAAATTTTTTACAATATTACAAAGTAATTTTTTTGGGTACTTAATTTTTATTTACAAATTATAATTAAATTATTAACATTTTAATATTTCATTTTACAGGTTTGATCACTAAAGCCATCATGGCCCATTTCACTATGCCGCATGCTAATTGGAGCCAAACGCCTCAGTCTGTTCGAGATATTTGGTTCGAATCATGGGCGGTAAATCATTTTACATTCTTTATTTTTATTTATTAAATTCTTTGATTTTAAAAATAGTAATAACATTATTCGTTTTTTTGTAGCAAGGGTGGCACTGGGATGAATTTCGTACTTTTGAAATGCGAGCGGCGTTCGAGAAGAAGGTGTTAAAGCGTCTCAACGGTTACATCGATAATTTGAAGAAAGCGACGCAAAATCCCCGTTCTAGTGC